GTGTGCAAGGAAAATGCTTGTTCTTCTGTAACTGCCTTAAACTTCCGTATCAGCCTCTCCACTCTGAATAGCCAGGAATGTAAACTAGCTGATCCAAGAAACACTTAGCCTTTTGTGATTTAAACAATTTTCTTTCCATTTAGAACTGTTTTTCTAGATATATAATCAGTCGTCCAACTCCTCCACTCTCTCCACCTTCGCCATCTTGGGGAGTAGATGAGGAGCTTCTAGTGTCCACATGGCTGCAAGGACATCTTAGAGCTGAGCAGTGTCCTCTGGGTCCTGGCAGCTCTCCTCAGTGACGGGGCCCCTGTTCATGGAGTCATTTCCCACCCCACACGCACCCCCTACCAGTGTCTGGGGCCTGAGCACCTGTGGTCTGTTCCCTGTGTACTCAGTCAGAACCCAGTGTCTCTCCCTCAGGCTCCACGTTGGCTGTCACTTTCATCAGCTCCCTGGCACCAGCTGTCCAGCCCCAGGACAGCTACTTCATTCCCCCCAAAGGGAGCCCCTGGTAAGCTCAGCTTCCAGCACCTTCAGTGCTCTTCCATGGGCCCACTTCTGGATGCCCCCTGTGTCACACAGGACCCTGGGGAGATCTGGAGCCCCCTCAGGCCTCCCTCTGAAGCCTTTCATCGGGCCCCAATTGGACTCTGATAGAGCTGCCCCGTATTATTGGGGGCTAAAGGGTCAGAGGCCACAGGCAGCCTGTGAGGCTCCGTATCCCTGGATCTCAATGGAGGAACAAGCTAAATCCAGCTTTTGAATGGGGAGCTTTAGTCACTAGAAATCCTTTCTCTCCACAAAATCTGACTTTCTAGACTATTACCACGCTAAAGAGGTCATAGAGTGAGCTGATCAGTGCTCTTTGGGTTCTGATCTATACTCTTCTTCCCTAGGGCAGAGTGCTCATGCTTAGCTTGAGAAAATGAAGATGCAAGGGAATGCAATTTTAGTGGGAACTGAAAAACATTACTTCCTTTTTTCAAAATACTTGTCCTTAAGGCAGTGGACAGTGTCCAGTGGGCAGGCAATTCCGATTTTCAACAGATTACTTAAAATGTTTTATGCCCAGATACACATATTGCTAGTAGTTATCCAGCTTGCCCATAGGGAATTCCATTCTATGATTTTTTTTTTTTCAAGTCACAAAAGTTTCTCAGAATTCTCCACTGACTTCATAATCTTCTCAGTAGTCTGTTTGAGTCACTGTCCAACACACTGGGTGTGTTTGGTGTTCGGGTGAAGTTGTTTTAATATCCAAGGTTCTGTTGAAGTAGGAGAGCATATTCTTCAGGCTGGAGATTCAGCAGCATCCTCATCTTCTCTAAATGCTGAGTCCAGGTTCCCGACAGGCTCTGAACACCAACCTCCCTTCTCCCCCTTCCTCTGATTTCAACTGGAAGTTTCCCATTCCCTATCCAAGTAACATGTGCCTATCTACTGTTGTCTTACTAGGAAGTAGCAATGTTTCTTAGCCTTTTCGGGGCATGGAGCCCCTGTGAAAATCTGATGAAAGTCAGTAACCCTCTCCCTAGAAAAGTGTGCATGTAAACCAAAATTTGCAAACAATATCATGGGTCTACAGAGGCCCATCCACAGATTGTGTGTTAGCTAAGACCCCAACTTAGCATTTATTTTTCCAGCTGTCATGGAGACTGACATTAAAATCAGGACATGGGGAAAATGTATAAGTTTATAGTACAGGCAGGGATTGCTTAACCTTTTGCAGACTGAACACACGTACCTATTTTTCTTTGGCAATGTAAATATTTGTTAATCTACTTGATAAATATTACATGGCCAAATATTACCAAGTTATATTTGAAGCTCTGGTGGCTTTTGATAATGATACCTCCATCCATGTTCATGGTGTCATGTCTCCTAGGTGTCAGATCCCTGTGCATATGATTACAGAGTCTTTGTTGAACTCTAGGGCCATCATTTAGCATTAATACAATCCTCAATGCTCAAATATAACTTGAGGCATATCCTGATAATCTTTAGGATTCCATTCCTTAAGATTCTGCTCAGGTATCACCTATTCCAATTTCCGTTCCCTGACAGCCTCCACTTCAACCAACTAGGTGAGGGCTCCTCCTCTGAGTCTCATCACACCCTCACATGTGTGTACGTTGTACCTCAGTGTGGTACAGCTATCTGGTTATACGTTCCTCTCTTCACCACACCATGAATGCTGCCAGAGCAGGTATGATGTCACTCTCACCTCTGAGCTCCAGTGGCCAGCACAGGGCCCAGCCCATAGTAGGTATTCAATACATGTTTGCTGAATGTAGACTGAATCACCACTGACTAATTCTTCATAAGCTCTCACATGATAAAGAAATAGACAAGCCAAAGCTAAAGAAAAGGGAACTCCAGGGGCCAGCCCCGTGGCTTAGCGGTTAAGTGCGCGTGCTCCGCTACTGGGGGCCCGGGTTCGGATCCCGGGCGCGCACCAATGCACCGCTTGTCCAGCCATGCTGAGGCGGCATCCAACATACAGCAACTAGAGGGATGTGCAACTATGACATACAACTATCTACTAGGGCTTTGGGGAGAAAAGGGGGAAAATAAAGGAGGAAGATTGGCAATAGATGTTAGCTCAGGGCCGGTCTTCCTCAGCAAAAAGAGGAGGATTGGCATGGATGTTAGCTCAGGGCTGATCTTCCTCACATAAATAAATAAATAAATAAATAAGAAGAGGGAACTGCAGTTGAGATGAATTGATAATTCAGTGTGTTAAATCTGTTGAGTGAGATGCTAAGAGAAGGTTACCAGGTGTGAGTTTGTAGCTAGCTGACTTCCTGGCTAATGCAGTGCATACCACAACAATAGCAGCAAAACTTCTTGATAGATAAAGCTCACTTCCTTAGGCTGATGCTTAGCCCTCTGCAGTCTGACCCAGGCCTGTTTTCTCCATCCTTTCAAGCTCCCCACTCTTTCCACTTCTAAGCCTCATTCGCCTAACTATGCCAAGTAGTTTCATGCACCCCAGGTCTTATTGGTCCTGCTGCTTCCTCATCAAGAATGCCTGACCTCATGTCTACATATTAAAATTTTCCTCATCTTCGAAGAATCTGCTAAGAGGCCATTCTTCCTGTATCCCTAGACAAAGGAATTCTTCCATCTCAAGGACATTGGGAGCACTAGTGACATCTCCTGCGGCCCTCATCATTGATTCTTGCTCAGGACCAGAAAAAATAGTTATTCCCAATGGACCCTTTTTCTTTTATTAATCCAGTGATTTTTTTTTTCATTTCTAACATCTGTTTCCTTCTAATCACCTTTATATAGACAGCTGTCTTTAGCATTTGTCCAATTAAAAACTGTATCAAGCAAATTTGATGCACAAACATCATAAAGAATGAAAGAATCTGTTGCACATCTTTTTAGCAGAGCAAGATGGTCCAGATTCTTGTTGCAAAATGTTGTGTGATGAAGCCCTTCCTGTTAAATAACTAACTGAATGAAAACACCATATTTTCCTTTGTCCTTATAAATACATTGTTTACTCACCAATTCTTGAGTTTGAGAAAATTCATCTAGGACACTATCATCTGAAGACCCTTAGTCTGAGATTTTACTTATACAATCAATTTCACCATCATTGTTAGTCTAGAAAGCTGCTCTCCTTCTCTTTGAGTTCATTGTCTGAGTCATCTAATAATTGTGAATTGTTGTTCTCTGTCAGTTTTCTTCTCTTTGCCATTATGAAAAATTTTGAATTCTCAGCTGTGTGCAATGAAAGCTAAAAGCAGATTCAAAATGATTATGACTTATTTCACTATTGAATCATCCTTCTAGGCAATTCCATCCTTCTCTTTTATTATTTAAGTGTCTTTTAGCATAAGTGGGAATAATTGATGAGTAATGATGAAAAATAATTCTCAAGATGATGAAATTGCAAAATATTTCAAAAGAAAGGAAAAATAAGATCACAGAGATCCCATGATGTATCTTAGATTTATAAAAGGGTCCAATGAACCCATATAATAATTCAAAAATAGAATGGGTTTTATTTTATTTAAAAAATGAGTGAATTTTCTCTTTGTTCCTTGGAAGCCCTTCAAGAAAGAATAAAATCCATGAAATATCAAGCCTTATAAATAGAACAACTCAAAGAGGAAACTCAAAAACTAAAATTGGGTCTAATGGACCATGATGGTATGCCAAGATTCCATACACATCCATCCAACTTAAGGCCAAGAATAGTGAGAATTCCAATCTCCATGTCTTCCTGGAGTTCCCCAGGCCTGGTCAGGGCTCTACTCATAGAAGGAGCTTAGGAGATATTCACCAAATGGATAGTAGGAGCCGGAGATGTAATTATTAAGCTGGAACTGTAGTTATCAAGGGAATGTCACATGGTATTCCTTACATATGTGCAAGGATCTTGCACCATCTCAAAATCTTTGCACTTTGCCTAGAATACTGTTCTTCCGTATCTCCCTTTTAGCCAGGTAACTGCAACACTGAATCTCAACTCGAACATCACTTCCACAAGGAAGCTTTCCCTAACTCCCAGCCCCTCCCATCAAGTGCCCCTTAATGAGCTGTCAGAGCCTCCCTCTATCCCTGCTTCTCTGCGCTTACCACCGTGACAGTTAGTGTGTAAGGTTTTAGTATGTCTCCTCCACTAGGAGGCCAGCCAGGGCTGCCGACCAGGTTTGCCCAGCCTTGCATCATCAGCACCAGCACAGTGCTGCACGTGGTGGGCACTCATCAGTATTTTGTGAATGAAAAACACTGAAGGAATTCAAACACTTTTCTAAGTACAGATGCTCACCTCCCTGAACCTTTAACAAAGAGTTAAGATGCATGTGTTTGAGAAAATAAAAGTAAAAAGTCAAAGCCCGTTTGTAGAGAAAGCAGATCAGGTAAGAGAGCTTTATTTTCCTGGACAATATTTTACTGGGGGGGGGGGTGGTTATGGGGAAGAATAAGCAACACGACTAGAGCAGAGGAGTCCTCAGCTCATGGTTCTGGCTTTCATGTAGGTGTCAGGCGATTTATCAGAGACTGACGTCAGCGGTGAGGCTCAGCACCCCCGGACCGGCGCAGACACCACGGAGGAGAAACTGAGAAACAGGTTGTACGAGTTAGCAGTGAAAATGAGTGAGAAGGAGACTTCTTCAGGGGAGGATCAGGAGTCCGAGCCCAAGACAGAGTCAGAGAACCAGAAGGAAAGTCTGTCTTCTGAAGACAACAGCCAGAGTGTGCAGGAAGAGCTGAAGAAGGTAAGGGCCCTGAACCACCAGCAGACAGCTTGGTTCCTGCAGCTGGGGTGTGGGGAAAGGTTCTACATTTGCCCAGAGAGGTACTGGGCCCCCAAAGGGCTCTCTGTGAAATGCCCATCCCTGTGCACTTGGGAGAGCCCAAGAAAACCCTTCTTGATTAGTGCTGAGAAGTTTAATCAGGAACCCAGCACCACGTGTCCTGTGAAGTCTCCCAAGACCTCTTGTCTCCTTCTACTAACTGTCCTTCATCAAGACAGCCCTTCAGTTTCGAGTCTGTAATTTAGTGCCCATGATCTCTCTCCTTGGTAAAGAGTAGTGTTATTTCGCGTCCCCCCTCCCTGAGGAATTTGCCTGTGGACTGAGATCACGTAGCCATCCCTCTTTTAGTCAATGATGAAGCTTCACTCCATAGTATAAAGTCTTTGTGTTAAAAGTGGCCTTCTGGACTATTTATCTCTGCAGTTTTCAGATTTTTTGTTTGTTTATCTTAGCCTCAGAATCCTTTTTCAAACAAGCCTTACATGGAATCCCAGTGTTTTAAACAGATAAAAGCACAGCTGCCCTTAGGGTCCCCAAAGCCCCAGCCACTTCTCTTCAGTCCTGCCCTCCCCCTCCCCTCCTCCTAAGCCAGCCCCTGAGTTCCAAGGGACATTGTTTGAAAACCACAGAAGACAGACCCAACCCCTGCAGAAAGGGATCCCAGACTCCCCACCTCCCAGTCAGTGCTCTGCCCACCATCCTCCAGTGTGTCTTCAGCTTTCCAAGCACGTTCACGCTAGACTTGGCCACTTTAGAGTCAGGAGATCCCTGCTGCCTCCAGTGGAAGGGGAAAAAGCTAACATTTGTTGAGTGTCTCCTATGTGCCTGGTGCTCTGCGTGTTAGTTCATTTAATAACCCTTTGAGGTAGATGCAGCCCCTTTTTGCAGATGAGGAAACTGAGGCTGAGTCGTGAAGGAACTTACCCAAGGACCACAGCTAGTAAGTTTCAGAGCAAGTTCACAAACCTACTTGGCCTCAAATCGCAGGCTCCTTCCTTTACAACAAGCTGCCTCTTTTGTAACTCCGATAAGATCTTGTCTGGTAACATCTAGATTTCTTTGCCCTTGTGATCGGTTCTTCCCCTATTCTGAGAGTATGCTATATAAGCTAACAAGTTGCTGATAATCCATGTGTATGAGTGAAAGAGCCCCCTTCACCTGCTCAGCAGCCGGCCTGGGTACGATAGAGGAGCCAGGCCAACCTGGGGATGACCACAGGTGGTCAAGAACAGACCCGGGGGAAGTGGGGACTGTCCTCCATGGCTGAGGCCCTGAATCTTCAACACCTCAGATTCTACCTTTCATTCATTCCATTCCCATCCTACCCTCCATAACCATCGAGTTCTCATTCATCAATCTGCCAGGTCCTCTGCCTGTGGACAGTGTACACACCTTTCCCCTGGCATGTCTGTGGGTTGGAGAGTGGAGCTTGGCCTTCACAGGCAGCCCCTCCCTGGGATGTGGGCTCCAACTCATTGTTTCCTCAATGGTGATGGTTCTGATCCTCTCTGTTACTTGAACCAATGCCCCATTACAGTCACATTTGTCTGCTAGAGCTGAGAGCCAAATGGTAACTGAAGAATATCACATTATTTCTTACAATGGCTCTGCATCCTACTGGCTTTGCTGCCTGATGATCTGAAGGCTCCAAAAACTCATGCTGTACCAGTGGCATGCCAGACTGCGATGAGTCATGCACTCCCACCTCTCATCAGCCTGCAGGCCTCGCCTCTGGAGGCGCAGCCACCAATCTGCGCTGTGCTCTCCTGGGCAGAATGTGAACAGGGAAAGGAGTATCCACTGGGAGAAATTCCTGGGCACTTGGCTAAGCCCCCATCCTGCCTCGTGCCCTTGCTGAGTGGGAAATTAGGAGAATTGCTTTTATTCCGACTCCCAAATGTGTCCGTTTCTCAAAGTTTAAGTCTTTCCCCTAGCCTACTATGAATCAACAAATTAAATATCAATCAGATATCACTTGCTGTATGTAAAAAACCATATAGCAAACAAAAAAGGTAATTAATATATTTTTCTGTATCAGGCATGGGCTACTATATGGAGTTAAAGGAAAGCAGAAATACAGGTTTATGTATTGAATATTATTTAGAAGCAGAAAAGTATAGAGATCAGCTTTCGGATTAGACTGAATTTGAAACACAGTCATGCAATTTGCAAACTTAGGACTTTGAGTAATGTCTTACCTCACCGCTGCTACTTAGAGCAAGCCAATGTCATTTCTTGCCTAGTTGCTATCCCCCGCCTCCTAACTGTTCTCCTCATCCTTCCAGGCCTTTCTTGGCCCCTCAGTCCTTTCTCCACTTGGGCAGCTGGAGCTGCCCTGCAGTTCCTGAACTTGTTCCCAGCATGTGAACAAGCCCTCATCTGTCTTGTTTTTAATTTGATCCCTAGGACCCAGTCTAGGTCTTCATTGTTGATTGGATAAACACATCTTGGCCTCATCTGTAAAATGGGGATAATCATACCCCGTTATAGAGTTGTGAGGATTGAATTATGCAGCATAGGGTTAGCAGGAGCCCCACAACTATTAATTATTGTATCACCTTTAACAACCTCAAGGAAAATAAAGTTCACTGTCATGAAATAACATCCATCTGCTAGTACTGGAGGAACAGCTTAGTGCCTGTTTCCAGTTAACACTTGCAGTGTCAAGCCGTAGGTCTGTAACCATGTTTGATGCTTCGTCATGCTATGCAGAATGTAATGGGAAAAATGCTGCATCGGAACCTCCCAGCTTCCCGTGTTCAGGATCAGAATAACTGTGACTTCCTCTGTGATCCAACCACAACTAGTTTGTACAGCACACACACACACACACACACACACACACACACACACACACACACCATGGTTGGGAGTGGATTTGGGCTCATTAACTCTTCTGGAAGCTGTCAATGCTCACTCTTATCTCTTTACCATGGTAATGCACACTGGTCCAAAGTCCAACTGCCTGAGGGCTCCTGAGGCAGCAGGAGCTCTTCTTCCTATGCAGAAGGCAGGCTGGAAGTGAGAGAAATAACACTGCCCCGCAGCAGCCCTAACCGGTGACTGATGGGAAGAGTGTAAATACTCCAGCTCCTTTGCCCCGTTGGGGTGGTAACTCTGGAGCATGAGCTACACACTGACTCTTCAAGTTCCCCAGCAGATTGAGCTCTAGGCACCCACAGTGATGGACAGCTTGCTAAGGTAGTCTTCATTGACTCTCTTCCCTTCCCTAGCTAACTTCCCCCACTTCTCTACCGCTATTTCCTGGGATCGCCTCCCAAATAAACTACATGCACTCAAATCCTTGTCTCAGGGTCTGCTTCTGGGGGAAACCAGACTAAGACATCAGCCAAACAGGAGAAAATGTCGAGTCCCCAGTTCACAAATACTTACCTCAGGGTTGTGACTAAGCAGTGAGGGAATCCAGACGCCTAATTGGTGCTAAGTGCTTTTGCCGTACCAAGAGGAGCTTTCCCTTACACAGACAGAGAGCTTTATGCATACTTCACTGTCCATCCTGCTTCCACTACTGGCCCCGCTCTCTGAGAGTCAAAGCAGAGGAATGTGCATATTCCCACAGACATAGTGACATCAGTGGCAGTTCAGTGTCCTTATTATGACAACTAGGAGGAAATGGGGAATCGGGGCTTCAGAATCCTGTCCAGCAGCAGAAGAGCCATTTTAGAAACATGCTTTCTTGATAGGAGTCTGCCCTTTGCTGTAGACAGATTTGGCCCTACAGTTGGCTCACTTTGGCTAGGTGTTAGGGGCCCAATGATGATTCAAGGTTGATCACTCCCATCTGAATTTTAACGAGCTGAAGAATGAGCTTGTAGAGCTTGGGGCTAGCCCAGAAACCTCCTGGGAACTGGATTCCCAGAGGGTCATGTTTTTCTTTAAGTCAGCTTGGTTCCATCAATCCTCAGTGGTCAGCCTTCCAAACCATGGAGTCCTCAGAGGCCAGGAATGAGCACTTGCTTCTCCTCTCCCACTGGGCAGTGGCCATGCCAATGGTTCTGGAAGAATGTCCTGACTGAAATGGTTCTTAGAACCATTGCGTCTGGTTATGCAGGTGCTGCTTTCCTGAAAGAGGGATGCAAAGAGAGGCCGCGAACTCCTGGCCTGGGTTTAGAGACTACATTCAAGAGCTGATTCTCCCACAAACCCCCTAATCTTTCCAGGCTTGGAGTGTGATCCCCAAGGTCCCTTCTGGCTCCAAAATCCCATGGTTCTAGATGGATTTAATCCATGGTTAATGGATTAAATAGGTTTTTGTTTCCTGACCCATAAGTGTCATTTGTGACACTGTTTATATGACAAAAGATGTCCTATGTGACATCTTAGTGAATTCTTACATTAAGTCAAATTTGTACATCCAGTGTCCTAAAAGCATTTTTATTTAAAGTGTCTTTGTTTATTAATTATTATCACGAGTAGCTGAATCATTGTGCTTTATTTTCACAAGGGAGTTATAGACCAACAGATATCTTCCATGTTTATAGTTTCATGGAATCATTCTCATCAAAGTACTGAGACTTCTCTAAACTAATAAATGTCTTTCTCCTCAAACAAGAGACTAATTTGTGCATATTCTCATGGCTGCTCCCCATTTACTAACATCAAGCCACATGGAACCACAATTCTGGTCAATGGTCAAGGAGACAGATTCACTGGCTGTTGTCTGAGAAAACCCAGAGCCTTGGGTTTCTGAAGTTTAATGTGCTTGTGAAAAATTGTTGGTGATATCACAGTGTAAACATAAAATGAAGTATTATTGTCCACATGTGTCTCACCCCTGTGAAATAACTCACCATTCACATGAGGATTCAGTGTCTTTCATCCCAGGTAGCATTTTATTTGAGAAGAGTGTCTTCATCTTCAGTTGGTGCTAAAGTGAATATAGCGTTAGATACTGACTTACAAGCTGCACTGATCTCGTCAGGCCTTATGCCTGTTGAGGA